AGATAGGGGGGGGGGGGGGAGTTATTTCTTCTTTTTTATTTATTTATGTATTTATCTTTTCGAGGGAGATGTGGAGTATTTAGGGGAAACATTAATTAAAAAGTTACACCTATGAAATCAACAGAAGTATTCTATACAAAAAAGAAAGGGAGGAGCAATACTGTGCCTCCCCAGTAAACTGGACGGTTGTATACTTGTTATCAATTCCAGATATTCCTTCAAAAACCTGATCATGAGAAAAGGGCACCAGAAATCAGCTTTGGTCATGAAGAATGCTGAAGGTTTTGATTGAAGATACACATTGCTAAAAAAAAATCAAGGAAAGAGGATCTCCTAAGAAGGCCTCAACAGAATCACTTCTTAGTAACACGTTGACACCTAAAGAAGTTACAGACAAAAATAAGAGGCATCTGACTACCACTTGTCAAGGAAGAAAACTAGTTCTGGCAAGCAAACTGAGTCTAAACTCACTTACATTGATAGTGAGAGTGAGATTAACACAATGAAATGCACAGATACAAATTTTGAATCTGTAAGGGGTGCCAAAGATGATCACCTGAACAGCTGCTTTCTCCCCATCAACTTCCAGGACTTGTCCACGTCGAGTTGTTCCATCTCCTAAGTGGATATTTACAATTACTTGATACTTGGGTCCCTGAAATAATTCCATAGAAAACACATCTAGTCAGGTTTCTAGTTATGCATGTAGATATCCAACTATGCGCATCAGATAGGCAGAAAAGTACATGCAAATGACAATGCTTTGCGAACAAATGCAGAACAGGGAACAATATTCACCTTGATTTTATCAAGGAAAACCAGGGGTCCAGCAACTCCAGAAACAGTTCTGTAATCTGGAAAAAAAGGGCATAGAAGTGTGCATCAATAAATGTATGTTGCAAATATATGAGATTATACTCAGAAGGCAAATATACCGTGTATTCAGAAGCTAATCTAAGCAGGATAATGGCGCAAAACATATATTCTTACAGGTCTTTCAGATCAACCACTCAACTCAGTGGCGGAGCCACTCAATGCCCGCACTGGACTCCAATTTTTTATCTGTTTTTTTCTTTTTTTTTTTCTTTTTAAGTATTGGGTTTTACTTTTATTTATAGTCCAATCGATACACTAATTTACCCCAACTCCAAGTGCACAGTGATATTTTCTAACTCTTTTCCCTCGACAAGAAATTAAAAAATTTCCTTTAATTTACCATCATTTTGAAATATTTTCAAAGTTCATTTCTTTCTTAAAACCCACGTTTCCTTGGGCCTTCAAATTTGCAGCAAAAAGTTTCTTTATCATGTGATTTTTCTATTTAATATTAGTGATTATGATTATGTGAATATTGAATATTGGTAATATTTATGATGGATTCTTAAAATCTTGATTTTTGTCAATTAGTCAAATAATTAGTGATGATTTTCTCTTGTTCTACCAATGTGTAAAAAATTGTAATTATTTCCTTATCAATTAATATTTAACTGTCACTTGTGGTTTATTTTAGTGTGAAATGTCAATGGAGAGATTATTTAAAAAAAATATTTCGTAGAAAATGTTGATGAGGAGATATTGAATAAAATTGATTTTTGATGTTGCACAACTTGCTACAGATCCTAGAATAAGAAAGAAAATGATAATCTTGTTAGTGTTGTCACTATGTCATTTTTAGCATTATTGTAATATCATTAAATCCATAACCGAAAAGTCCGATATTGACTAAATTTTGCCCGCACTGGACAAAATTCTTGGCTCCGCCCCTGACTCAACTCGTACACATATTTCACTCTTAGGGGATGTAAAGAAAACTAAACTCCATTTTTTCCTAATAGAAACCTCCTTTTTTTAATGGATTTGATCCATCCCTTCAATTGATCAGTGCAAAGTGATTCCCCTTCCCTCCCCCTTGTAGTTGAAACCAAGAATATTGTGTCAAGAAAGAAGGGGGGCATATCTTTTATATTTTATTCGACCAAATATGTGATAGATTTCTTCAAAATTTTTATTTTGTATTACGACTTGTGCATATATAGTTAGGAAGTTATGACAGTTAGCTAGTATGTTGTGCCAACTAATTGTTAGTTATGACAGTTGGCATATTTTCATTTCTCTTCCATTTTTTATTTAAACTGAAGATGTATGTACAATTCACACACTTTTTGCATGATCAATAAAATCAGTCTTCCATTAAACTACAGCTCTAATAAGGTATCAGAGCAGTGCTAAGCTGCATTCATCTTCTTCAGTTCTTCCTATCCTTCTTTCAATTCAATCGATCTTGCTATCATCTGTAATTTTCATCAACAATGGAATCAACAGCTTCTGTAAACTGTCCTGGTTCGAGGCCATCCATGAGCAAGTCCGCCATTGATGAACCTTCCAGCCCATATTTCCTTCACAATTCCAACAATCCTGGATTGATTTTAGTGTCTTAATAGCTCACCGGAGAAAACTATGCCTCTTGGAGCCGTGCAATGATTATTGCCCTTTTAGTCAAGAACAAAATCGGATTCATTGATGGATCCATGGAGAAACCAGAAGCTACAGATCCAGATCTGGTTAATTCATGGATTCGAAATAATAACTCGGCTGATTTCTTGGATTCTCAACTCTGTTTCGAGAGACATTTCAGCTAGTGTAATCTATGCTTCTACAGCACATGAGATCTGGAATGATCTCAAGGAGAGGTTTCAAGAAAGTAATGGACCTTGGATCTTCCAATTGAGAAGGGAACTGATGAACCTGGTTCAAGATTAGAGCTGTGTGAGTGTGTATTTCACCAAACTCAGAGCAGCGTGGGAAGAATTAAGCAATTTTCGCCCAAACTGTAGCTGTGGAAATGTACCTGTAATGGTGTTAAGGAGCTGAATAAGCATTACCAGATGGAATACATCATGTCATTCCTTATGGAATTGAATGATTCATTTTTGCAAGCTAGGGATCAAATACTTCTTATGGATCCTATGCCACCTATTAATAAAGTGTTTGCATTAATCTCACAAGAGGAGAATCAGAGAAAACTCAGCACACAATCTGTCGGGGTTGATTCAAATGGAGGAGCTGCCTTTGCATTCAGATTTGCTAATGGCAAAAGGACAATTAAATATGGCCCTCATATGGAGAATCTAAGGATTGGTAACAAGAACAAAGAAAGGCAATTCTCTACCCACTGCAAATACCATGGACACTGTTGACAAGTTTTACAAAATCCATGGATATCCACCAGGTTATAAGTCAAGGCCACTAGATAATCTCCAAATTTCTCTAATTCTAAGTCTGTTAATCAAATTTCTGCTCCTTTTCATCCACAGACTGAAGAGAAATCAATGGACCAGCAACCTGGACTTGGGAATTTTGTGCAGAATTTAAACTCCAGCCAATACCAGCAATTGATGACAATGCTGTCCACTCATTTGGCTTCAAATTCAAACTCTACTTCATCTGATCAAGACGAAAATACCTCCACTTATGCTGCAGGTATATGTCATTCTAAATTGATTAGTCCAACCTTTACATCCAAGAATATTTGGATTATGGATTCAGGAGCCTCCAAACATGTGAGTTCCACTGCTGATGCATTTGTTAATTTGAGAACAATTGATAATTCAAGTGTTACTTTGCCTGATCAATCAAGAATCCCAGTCAACATGTGTGGTGATATTAGACTAAGCATCAAACTGATGATCCATGATGTCCTTTTCGTGCCACATTTCAAGTTTAATTTAATATCAGTTAGTGGATTGACTGCTTTGACTGCTGAGTCACAACTAACAATGAGTTTCTTTCCTAATCAGTTCACCATCCAAGATGCTTCAAACAAGAGGATGATTGGCAGTGGCAAAAACGGTGACTGTCAAGGTGATGCTTGCACTTGCTGCCTACCATAAGTGGCACTTAGTGCAATTACACGTAAATAATGCTTTCTTGAATGGGGGATCTTCCTCTTGGGTATGAGTTTCATAAATCTATTAGACAAGGGGAGAAAATGGTTTGTAAATTGCACAAATCTATATATGGCCTTAAGCAAGCCTCGAGGCAGTGGAATTCAAAATTTTCTCATGCCCTCATCCGTCATAGCTTCTCTCAATCTAAGGCAAATTATTTTCTTTTCACAATAGGCTCAAAGGACAACTTTGTGGCCTTGTTAGCATACGTGGATGACATTGTTATTATCAGGCCTAACATTCAAGTCATTGATTCTTTAAAGGGATTTTTACACACTCAGTTCAAGCTTAAAGATCTGGGTTGTTTGAAGTATTTTTTAGGGATTGAAATTACCCGTTCAGCTTCCGGTATCATCATTTCACAAAGACAATATGCAATGCAGTTAATTGAGGATGCAAGTTATTTGAATTGTAAACATGTAAATAGTCCTATGGATCCAAAAACAACTCTCAGCATACATGAGGGGGATTTGTTGCCAGATGCCTCACACTACAGGAAACTAATTGGGATACTGATTTACTTGACTCTTTCATGACCAGACATCACATTTGCCATCCACAAGTTAAGCCAATTTATATCAATGTTATCAATGCCACATCTCAAATCAATCCATCAACTTCTTCGTTATTTGTTGGGAAGTCCTGGACAAGGTATCTTTTTTTCTTCTCATCCATCCTCTGATTCCACCATTAAGATTCAAGCATTCTCTGATGCAGATTGGGGATCATGCATTGACACTCAAAAATACTACTGGTTTTTGCATCTTCATTGGTGACTCATTGGTCTCTTGAAAATCAAAAAGACAACCTACCATTTCCCATTCATCAGCTGAAGCCGAGTGCAGAGCACTAGCAACCACAGTTAGTGAAATCATTTTGATCAATTAGTTGTTGCTGGATTTTCAGATTGCTGTTACTCCTCCTGCAGCCATATATTGTGATAAGTAGGCTGCCATTCGGATTGCAAATAATCCAATATTCCACGAGTGAACGAAATACATCGAAATCGATTGTCACTTCATTCATTCAAGACAAGATTACAGCTGGGGCAGTGAAGTTTCTTCCGGTTGCTGATGCCTTCACTATCTGCTTCGCCCTATCTCCCTTATTATCCAAGATGTGTGTAAAGAACATTTACCTCACATCTTGAGGGGGCGTATTACGACTTATGTATATATAGTTAGGAAGTTATGACAGTTAGCTAGTTTGTTATGCCAACTAGTTGTTAGTTATGACAGTTGGCATATTTTCCTTTCTCTTCCATTTGTTATTTAAACTGAAGATGTACGTACGATTCACACGCTTTTTGCATGATCAATAAAATCAGTCTTCCAATACATTTGAAGCTTTAACATTTTGCAATTTCTGGTGTTGCCTCAGAGCTGCATCCCTGATGAAAGTATTGTGGAGTCCTTGAAAACTTATAAAAACTGATACTAAGAAAGACATTCCTAAAAGTTCTATAGCAGAGAAGCAATATGGGGGAGAAAACAAGCTTTAAAAGTATTAACATGATATTAACGTTGATACAGAGACAGACAGTATGACTTGAAAACAAGAAAGATTGATGTACAAATCCAGCCGAGCTTTGATGCATATTATTTATTAGTACTAGACAACAACTGGAATAGGGCTCCTGCAAAAATCTAACAATAAAATACTTATAATAAAAATGTTCCAGTAAATCCAACATCTGCAAGAACTTCTAAATGTTATCAATGCCACATTGATTATCTTCACAGAAATGTAAATCATGGTAATTGGCTAAAGCAATGATAAAACAAGTGTAACTAATATTCATCCAATGGGACGATGGACATAGTCAAAACATTTCTATTTATGGGTGGTGATACGTAACTGCTCTTTATATGGTAAGAAATATGCGCATAATGCAAATTGGGGCATCAAATGCAGTTTCTTTCTTGATATACAAAGAAAAATATGAATAATTTACAACTATATATGACATATTTTTCCTTCGAATTAAATTGTAAAGATACAAAAAAATCATTTTTTGTTTCCATATTATTTTAACATAACCTACGAACCATGCCGCCAAACATATTAAATACCATAACTATAAATACATATACTTCCTCAGCATTAAAAATGAAAAGCTTTAAATAATCATTTTTCTGTTTGCTAATTTCTCACATCAGCTACAGACTAGAATTAGAATTGATCATTAACACTCTCGGAAAGAGTACATATTCAGTTTGGAGGCATAACAGAATCAATCATAGCTATGACAATTGAAATCAAAATCAGATAATTTTACAACTAATCTACAGTCCAACAATTTTTCATCATCTTAGTTCCCTAAAATTCAAATCATAAAGCTCAAAGACCTGCATATATCAGGATTCAAACCAAACATAATTAATCACAAATAAATCAACCATCAATATGGATATAAAGGAACAAGTGCCTACATTCTAGCACTTGTATAATAAGCACAGACATACCCATTGCAATCTCCAGAGTTCCCTCCTCCATGTCGACATTGTTTTCCGCCAAGCCCATATTTCACCTAAAGAATCTACATCTAATCTGAGACTGGATTTTTTTTTTTTTTTTTTAAATTAATAAAACCCCGTTTTGGTCTACTCAGGGGGGACTCATATTTTTGGCCCAATTTTTTTGGGAACAATTGCAGCCCAAGGCCAAGAACAGCCCAAAACTCTCAAGCTCAAGCCCATAATCCATTATCTATTTACCCAAAATTCCCAAATCCCAAATTGAAATCGTTTCCGTCTCTCTCTCGCTCGCGGCTCGACTTCACCTTGCAGTTCCAGACTTCCAGTCTCCCAGTTCCAGAATCCCAGATTTCCTCTTCGTGGCTTGGCTAGTTGACTTCGCTCAGTTCGCTGGCACTGGCTACTGTCTCAAACTCCCAGTGAGTTCAAACACCGAGTGGCCTCCTGCCTCCAATGCCCACGGTAAATTACACGTTACCTTTTGTTTAATTCATTATATTTCATTCATTTTAGTCGAACATTTTAACGAAATTTAACAAATTCATGTTTGATAGGTGCTTCTTAAATATTGTTATAGTTGTTTTCAAGTTTTGAATCTGAAGCAGAGTTTCAATCTTTTGCACTTCACTTACTGTATAAACTCTTCTTTTTTTGAGATTAAATTTTTCACCTTGCATATATTTATTTTAAGCATATATAGTATCGATTGAATGCGTTTATCATGTCAATCTCATTTTTCCAAAGTGGGCATTCGTGATTGTAAAGATGATAAGCAAATTAAACAACCAAGATATGTAGAGTTTGATTAGTTTATTCTAACTCTAGCTGTATTGCTATAGATAGAGGGGAAAAGAAAAAGAATTACTTTAGAATGACGTCACACTTGCTAAACCAACTTAGAAAATGAAGTTGAAGTAAATAAGTGGTGCTATTCTATGAGGAGTCTTCAATAGGAATGACGGAAGTTCTAAAAAAGGATTCTTTTTATTTGTTACTGCGCATTGCTATCTAGTTAACTTGAAGTTATTATACAATAATATCAAAGTATGAAAATTCACAAGGAAGAAGTATAATTTATAATCTTTTTCATTTTTAGTATTATCGTAATATTATTTTATATTTTTATCATTATTAAATCCGTAGTCAAAAACTCAAAGTTCGATATTAATTAAATTGTGCCCGCACTAAACAATGTTTTTGGCTCTGTCCATGTGTGCAGCTGTTTATGAAATTAATTGTTGTTTATTATGAATTTAATGTTATGTTTTGATTAAAAATGAAATATGGTATTTATTTATTTATGTATTGAATTTGTTTTTAACATTCATAGAAAAATATTTTAAACGAAAATCCACATGTTCAAGTGGAGAGAAAATTATTGACCCTTGTATAGTTCCGCCCCTGCCTACAAGCACCGAAAATACGATCCATGGCGTCTTCCGGGGCCCCGATCCAGGATTCCATGTCTGCCTCGGGTCTTGCATCGGAGAAGCTTAGCCTTCCGGTTCTTCAATCCAAGATGAAGTCCGACCCCGAAGGTTATACGTCGGAGCTCGTTTTAATTTACAACCAATTCAAGTCATCTCTCGAACTTTTCGAGCAGCAAGCGGCTTTAAATTTCACCTCATTGAGTGGAATCGCCACTGACCCGACTGTGGCGAAGGGTTTGGGTGACAGAGCCTTGTTCTTGGCCCATGTCACTCCATTTTACCCTAAACAATTAGTGCAATTCCCAAAAGAGCTGGCACAATTTTTGAAGTCTGCGGCCCGGTCCCTCCCGTCAGGACTCAGGGTGCATGTAACTCAAGCTCTAATTCTTCTAAGTAATCGCAAGGTACGTTTTTCTTTAGATTTTTTGAATTATTTTCAGATGAATGTGTTGTTTAGAATTTATTATTATTATTATTTTTTTTTTCGACAAGGATGAATTAAATTTCCCAAGTTAACACCTGTAAAAATTCTGCGAAAATTTTATACACCTAGCATTGCTCCTATAATTTATTAAAATCAGAGCGTTAAAATAATAGAAAATGATCGCGGCATAAAATGTAAATTTATAGTATTTTGTGGGTTTAGAAAATTAAAGAACAGGTTGCCCCTCTTAAAAGCATATTGTTAGGTGCATATTTATATGCATTACGCAAATGCAAAATGCCCTAAAAAGCCAAAATAATTCATCTTTTAAGTAGGGCTGAACATGCAAAAAAGTGCAGTTGGCCGTTGTTTTGGCTTTGATGGCTCTGTAATTAAAAATTTGGGTAAAAATGATGCAGAACAGTATGTAAATGGAAATTTTATACTATTGATTTTTAGATGAAACTTTGAGTTAAAACTCAAGAGTGTTTATATTTACGGACGTTCTAAATTATTGTTGGTATTACTTTGTTGTGTATTTAGTTAGTTGATATTGTGGGGACACTTGAATTGTTCATGGAGCTCCAAAGTTTGGGGGATAGGGTGTTGAGGCAGCTAGCATTTTCGCATGTAATACATGGTATTAGGCGGATGAATCAGAAGCATAAGAATGATCCCAAGAATCGAGCACTTCAAAATATTTTGTTCAGCATGCTGCAGGTATATAAGTTTACTAGGTAAACCTGCTTTTCTCATTTTAGTTGATTTCCAATGATATTTATCATTATTGTTTGAGTTCTTGTTTCCTGATAGCGAGAAGATGAGGCAATAGCAAAGAGAGCTCTTATTACCCTCTGCGATTTTCATCGGAGGAAGATTTGGTTTGATGATAGGACAGCAAATGCCATATGCATGGCATGTTTTCATGTGTCATCAAAGTGAGTACCAGAATTGCATATTTGGTTGTCCTACTCTTGTTTTTTCGGTTTTATATTGCATGTCCACACTTGATAAGCTCTAAAAATATTTGAATTCTTCAGGATCATGATAGCTGCTCTGTCATTTCTTCTTGATTTTGAGAAGATTGAAAATGATGACGACACTGATGATTCAGACAGTGAAGATGACCTTGAAGCTCGACAGACTCAGATAGCAGTGAATAAAGAGTCTATTTACAAGGTTGGTACTTAACCAAGGCATGACCCAAAAACTGGCCATGGTGTTTGAAAATTCATTAGTAATTTTAGCATCTCATTTATTAGCTAGGAAACTCTTATATCCATATTGTTGAATTTCTACCGTGTGCACCTTGGTTTTTTAAGAATGGATAAGTTTAGTATGCCGTTCAAGCTGCGAGAGACCTTCCTTACTGCATAAACTTGTCAAAGTGGATTGTAGGAAAAATACGTGATGTTTCTTTTCTGCTTTATTTCCATTCTGGAGAGAACAAAGGAAAAAAACCATTATCACGTTGTTGTGGTTAAAATGAATGGCAGATAACTCGTAATTGTTTATAAATTTTTGAACATCTAGGCAAAGCATAAAGGGACAACATCGAGCAAAAAGAAAAAGAAAGCGAAATTGCAGCGTGTCATTCGTAGCATGAAGAAGCAACAGCGGCTCTCCTCTGAAAATAGTAATAATTCAAATTACTTTTCACCATTAAACCATTTGAAAGATGCACAGGTTAGTTTGATTTTTGTTAGTGTTTGCTGTGATGTGTTCTACTGAAAATGGTAGAAAGCATTTGACTCGTATTCTTCCTACAGGGCTTTGCTGAAAGGCTGTTCTCACGCCTGCAAACTTGCAATGAAAGGTTTGAGGTAATTTGTATTCAATTTTTCATCCCTCTGATATCTCGTCCTTTGTTTTGGAATATGGAATTTTGTTATTTTCATTTTTCCTTGCAGGTTAAGATGATGATGTTAAAAGTAATTTCCCGAACTGTTGGACTTCACCGCTTGATTTTGTTAAACTTCTATCCTTACCTTCAGAAATACATTCAGGTGTGTAATTTATTCATCACATGGAGTCGTGGAGGCAATTGATTTTGATTGTTAGCTAAGTCTGGTTATATTTCTTTTAGCCTCATCAACGTGATGTCACAAGTTTACTTGCAGCAGCTGTGCAGGCCTGCCATGACATGGTATTTTCCGTTTGGTTGAATCTTATTCCCTTTCATTGAAATGCTGACTGCCTCATCTGTTGTCAATAGAGACAGTCCTGATATTTTTTTTTCTGTACTAGGTGCCACCTGATGCAGTAGAACCATTGTTTAAGCAAATAGTCAATCAATTCGTGCACGATCGGTCACGTACAGAGGTATTACTTTGTTTTTCTTGAGAAATAAGTTTTCCGATGTTGATTGGACTTCATTTGGCCCATCGTCTTTCCCAGGCAATCTCTGTTGGACTGAATGTAGTGCGGGAAATATGTCTACGCATGCCTTTGGTATGCCCATTTCCTTGAAGCCATGTACATATGTTCCTTTTTTCTTGAGTTAGTTAATCTCACCATTAGTATTTTTCTCTTATCTGTTCCCAGTTGATGAGTGAAGATTTACTGCAAGATCTCGTTTTGTATAGAAAATCACATGAGAAGGCAGTATCTTCAGCTGCACGTTCACTTGTTACTTTATTCAGAGAGGTAAATGAGCCAATGATGTTATAGTATTCAGTATATTGAGTGGAAGGGATTTCTTGCAGGAAGACTAAAAAAGGTATTTTGCAGGTTTGCCCTTCACTATTGATCAAGAAGGATAGAGGGAGGCCTACTCACCCAAAGGCCAGACCTAAAGCATTTGGAGAGGTGCAGGTTGCTAGTAATGTCCCTGGGGTCGAGTTGTTGGAACAAGATGATGATGGCAGTGGTGATGACATTGATGAGGATGGGGGATACAGTGGCTTGTCGGATGATGATAATGAAAATGTTCCTATTGAAGAAGGTGATTCTCAGTATGAATCTGGTGGGTCCAGTGATGACGACTTTGTTTCTGATGGTGACAGTGGTGAAAATGATGTACAAGAGGATGAAGAAGTGTCTGATAGCGATAATGATAATAAAGCTGCTGATCAGGCAGATGACATTAGTGAGTATGAGTGTGATGAGGATGAGGAGCTAGAGGACTCTACATCTTTACTGCAATCTGATGATGGAACTGCAAAGGACAATATATCTAAAGCACAGAAGAGGAAGTTTTCTGATTTTGATGGACAACTGAATGCTGCCAGTA